CTTCTATTCGTGGCCTTCAACTTCTTCTTCCTTTTTAATATGGATAATAGTAGAAAATAAGAGTTTTCACTATATTGGGGGGAAGGATTTAATTCCTAAGGAGGGGTATTATTGTCCTTTCATGTAATTTTTTAACACCGTTAGGTAAATTTAAACAGTTAGCAACTCAGGGTATTTTTTTACTATGTTTTGTAACTTAGGGTATATAACTACTACAAAAGCAAAACAATAGGGTATATAAGTGTCATTTAGCCAATTTTAAATTACAAAAAAGTATCCTAAAATTTAGAGATTTAAAAACTTAGAAACAACATAGATGGATTCCAGGGATTACCATTAGGCAACTAGAAATTTAAAATTAGTAAAAAATAACCTCAAAGTTATAAAAATTACAAAAACTCTCTCAAAAGTAAAAAATTATAAAAAAATCCTAAAATTTTAAAACTTATAACCTGTACACATCAAATTTTTAGAAATTATTAGCAGATCGTTGAAAATTTAAAATTTTTAAAAAACAACCCAAAATTTTAGTTATTGTAAAAATACCTTCAAAATTTCAGAGTTACAAGAAATATTCTAATATTTAAAAACTTATCACCAATACATGAAACATAAAAATTATAAGCGCCCAACTTAAAATTTAAAATTTTCATAAAATACTATCAAAGTTTAAAAATTGCAAAACACACCCTCAAAAGTTCAAAATCACAAAAAGGCTGAAATTTGGCAAAGAAAAGAGGAAATGTTTGATATTATTACATTAAGATCGATATAATAGGTTAACATTAATTTATTATAATGTATAAACATTTATCTAATGTTGATAATATTTATTTATAAAGTAAAAAAATACAAGGAGTTATATATGGAGAAACTATCAGAAAGTTCAGAGATATCCTTTTTTTAATATGTTTTATAACTTAGGGTATATAACTACTACAAGAGCAAAATAATAGGTTATATAAGTGTCATTTAGCCAATTTTAAATTACAAAAAAGCATCCTAAAATTTAGAGATTTAAAAACTTAGAAACAACATAGATGGATTCCAGGGATTACCATTAGGCAACTAGAAATTTAAAATTAGTAAAAAATAACCTCAAAGTTACAAAAATTACAAAAACTCTCTCAAAAGTAAAAAATTATAAAAAAATCCTAAAATTCTAAAACATATAACCTGTACAGATCAAATTTTTAGAAATTATTAGCAGATCGTTGAAAATTTAAAATTTTTAAAAAACAACCCAAAATTTTAGTTATTGTAAAAATACCTTCAAAATTTCAGAGTTACAAGAAATATTCTAACATTTAAAAACTTATCACCAATACATGAAACATAAAAATTATAAGCGCCCAACTTAAAATTTAAAATTTTTATAAAATACTATCAAAGTTTAAAAATTGCAAAACACACCCTCAAAAGTTTAAAATCACAAAAAGGCTAAAATTTGGCAAAGAAAAGAGGAAATGTTTGATATTATTACATTAAGATATAAAAAAAGGCTAAAATTTGGCAAAGAAAAGAGGAAATGTTTGATATTATTACATTAAGATATAATAGGTTAACATTAATTTATTATAATGTATAAACATTTATCTAATGTTGATAATATTTATTTATAAAGTAAAAAAATACAAGGAGTTATATATGGAGAAACTATCAGAAAGTTCAGAGATTTTAAGTGCTAAAACAAAAGCATCTCCATCAAGTTTCTTTATAAATACAATACAAATTTAAATTATTTAATATTTTAAAAAATAGCTTAATTTTTTTACTAAAATCAGGAATCTTTAGAAGGGATTTTTATGAACTCTTTTAATATTTTTTATATGGTTATGTGGATGCTTTTATTATATAAAAGAGTACTATAGTTAGCATTAATCTTTATTTTATGATTTTTTTCTAAAATCTATCAGTGATTAGCAACAAAATTTATATTCTCTTTAGTTTCATTCTAGCACACTTTTAATTAATCATCTTGGCTTATTAGCTTTATCTATTCATCCTTCTTTTATAACGTTATTTTTTTCAAGTGTTTTTTACTTTTACAATATTATACCTGCTAATGTCAAGCTTGGTTTCATGTCGATCCAAATAACGCGAAAATTCAAATTAGCCTTAGATTATAGTTATTTCTTGTCAATTCAATTTTTACATGAAAATTTTAAATTTGGTGTCGCTCATTCAAACAAACATTAAAGAAAATAAATAATCACAATAGTAAAGTTTGAAAACATAAGTGAGCAAAAACAATCAAAGTGGAACTGAGGAACAAATTTTAGTAAAAGCAATAACTCAAAAATACTTAATCATAATATTTAACCACGTGCACTGCACATGCATAAATCCTAGTTGAAGCAAAACGACAACTTGCACGGACCATAAGATAAATTCATGAGTAATCATAAGAGCTAGCAATAATGCATAATATTTATATATGGTAATCAAGAGTCGGGAACGCTTTCAATATGATAAGACAATGTATGTTAAATAGTTGAAGAACATAGTAGGCCGAGCAAAACCATCCCACTTTTAGATACAATATTTATTTCCTTTCATGTCTTATAAAGGATCGCTCCTGAACTCCATAGTATCTTCCCAGTAGCAAGCAGCATACGTACACATCCATAATTGTAATACAGGAATATCTTTACAAAATTGATCCGAAGACCTAAATAATGGTTACTGTGGTTAAATCCCCTGAAAACATGTTTAGACAAATATTACGGAATTTTGATAAATATTTAGGATAGACCAAAAAAGGCCTACAAGACCAGTCTTCGTAAATTCGTGAAACATATGGGGTACATGCGTAAAAAAGGCCTACAAGACCAGTATTTGTAAATTTGTGAAACATATGGGGTACATATGTAAGTTTACCCTGCAAAAAAATCCAGAATAAGTTCTAAAATCTCTAGTACCTGGTCAGCGATTTTCTTTGTTCATAATTACTCTCTATTTGTTAGAATGCTATTCCCTCGTGCAGCAAGGAACTGGGGAGGACAAAAATGATGGATCGGGCAAAGTAATGATGATGCTATTTTTCAATAACCTTATATAAGTTCTTTTTTATATAACAGATTAATATTCTTTAAGCATCAGAAGGGTCACATGACTTATTTTGGTACAAAGCCCTAACTGACTATCTCATTGTATTTCTAATTTAGCGTCCGTTATTGTCCTTAAAAATAAGTCCTTTCTTCGATAGATTTTAATTCTTCGAATAGGTTTATGTTCACCAAATTGCAAAAACGTGGCAACCCTGCCTACACATCCCTGTTCTCCTCTTTCCTCTATGTCACGCTAGGCATGTAGCGGAATATTATTTAATGTTGTTTAAATGTATTACAGAAGTGTAAAGACATCCAAATCAACATTCCAAATCCTTTGACCATTTGTTGTCATGTTTCATAGCCAAAGAAAAGCGAGGCACGTTGATCATTTTACACCCTGATGTTCACCAAGTATTCAGCAGTCATCCTTGAGATGTCATTCTTATTTGAAATTTCTATGAATAAGCTCTATAGATGATATGTTCTAGGTTGCGTTTGGATTCCAGGAGTTGATTTCAAATTTCAGAATTGAATTCTGAAATTTGAAGTCCAGAATTTCAAATTCAATTCCTTCGTTTGGGAAACATCCAAATTTGAATTCCAGAATTCAATTTGAAATTCATGTTTGGCAAACATTAGAATTTCAATTTTAAAAATTTCAATTGAGTTGTTCGCCAACTAGTAGAATTCTAGTTTCTGAACTAAAATTGTAGCTCGAAGATAATTTAGAAATAAGATACTCAAATTACACAAGGTTTGCATCGAAATTGGTGGAAATAAATACCCCAAATAGTATATCACATATCCAACTAACTTAACATCTAGATAAAATACCTTAAAATCTCAAATGCAGTAATGTCAATAGTTGACCTAATAATCACCATAAAAATAACTGAAATCGTTCATCAATAAAACTTTGTAAACTCATCCACCACTAAGCAAAATAATAAATAAAGTAGAAACTTTAAATATTGCATATAACAATTCAACAAACTAGAGATCCAAAATATCCAACAAATACAAACCAACAAAAGTTAATACTTCGCCATTACAATGTCATGCTTAAGTTGCTCTCGCACTAGTTTCTTTAAGACTTATTACATCTGATTCAAAAAAGAGTTTCTTTCTAATGCTTATACACTTTCACTTTGTATTTCTTTTGTCGTTTTATTCCCTCGGTTCAGAAAGTCTTGCTTTGTGAGTTCTTGAATCACCTGAAATAATAACAAGAAGACCAAATCACCTTCATTCTTAAAGACCGTGTAGACTTGCAACATAAAAGAAATCATGTTCTATTAGATTGCTAGGGATCACATTCTTACTAATATTCTCCATTAAGCACATACCTACATCAAATTGGTATCAAAGCAGGTTGTGCTTCACTGCATACAAAGCTCTTTTTAGTACAACATGTGATGATGAAACCATGTGGTTTCCATACAAAATGCTTGTACTAAAAAGAGCATATATTTCAGCTTGAATAAATGGAAATTATTAGTCAAGATAGCTAAGACAATGATGTTCAAATATTTGATATGCACCAACTAAAACTACCAAAGTCTCTTTACCTTTTCTACTCATTATCTTAAGAAGAAGGAAGCCATATTACTAAAATTATAATCTCAGTCTAAAGTAGTAAAACATGGTCGTCAGTATCATGCTAATTTGATTTGATCCTAAAGTAGCTAAAGTGTTGCCTTCATTTGTTATAAAGTGGTGTACTTTACTACATTCTAAGCATAGTAAAACCTGAGAGTCTGAGACTAGACCAACACCCATCGATTCATTTGCCACATCTTTGTCTAAATTGAAGGCCAGCATCCTGATCAGTTATCACAATGATGGGCCTTTTTGCTGATAAAATGTCATACCTCAGCGTCAGGTCAGTATCATCGAACACAGAGAATGAAGTTGAAGAGAAGTTTTTGTTCTCATAATGAAGTTTCCTTAGTGGATGCAATTCCTAATTACCCTCGTCACCAAACAGTTGTAGTAATATGATTGTGGGCACCAATACAAAAATCCAATATCATAACATATTAGTCTCACAAAGACTTGTAGACACCCAAGTGATTTCCTTTTCCTTATGGCCAAGGAAAGTTCTTTTGTCCATCACATCACTAAGCATGATCATGTCAAGATACATATGGTTTTAATATATTTTGCGACATATCTCCATGATATACTTATATTTGCAATCTAGAAAAGAAGCTAAAAGGTTTTCTATTAAGATCTTATTCATAATAAAACTTAACAATTGAAGGTTGTCCTTGCAATGCATATGTCAAAATACAATGTGCTCATACTAACACGTGTTAAAGTCAACTCGAATTGGGCTACCTCCAAAAAGAAACCATTAAATGATTACTGGGATCAATAAAGCAACAATGTTGCTTATTAAGATGTAAAGAAATTTAGACTTTGTTGCTTTTCTTTCCTGTCCAGGTTGAGGAACAATATGAAAACAGAAAATAGAAGACAAGGGATGAACAGGGAAAAGGGAACAAGAGACTCAGTCTCCACAGAAGTAATTCAATTCACATGTGTGATTCCTCCTCATTCATAATTCCAAACCCATTTCAAGATTTTAAAAGTGAAAAGTTAACACTAAATGAACTTGACCCGAATCTAGACTAGTCTGGATAAACCATAAGACAGAAACTAAACTGCAAGTGTTCACATGTTCATAGTTTGTGTAGGCAGTAATACTCAGATTACAATCATGATTTCCTTCACAAATTCATTCTATTTGACTTGGATTTGAACTTCCGAAACAACAAAATCGTTCAAGATGATCCAATGTTAAATAAGATAGAGATTCATCTTCTCACCCAATTTGACATGAATCCATCATAAGCTCGAACACAACATTCCCTCCCAATTTAGCTATCTAGACTTCTTTAGATATTTACAAGGTTAAATGAACATATCAATGCAGGGATTACAGCACATGCACACACGCACGCACACCCGCGCGCGCGTACACACACACCCCAATGGATACAATGAACACACACACACCAATGGATACAATGAAAGCCTTGATGCAACTTTAAGTGGATGATTTCTTTTCAAAAATTAAACATAATTTTATGCATATAATGGTCTATCTTCTCCAAGCATTATCTCCTGTCTCTGTTTGATACTGACCTCGCTTGCCTCTCTCAGTTTCACAGAACACGGAAAGACAGGAATTTTTCAAACTTAATTTGAAAATATCCCCAAATCTAATAATAAGATCCCTAAATTATCAACCCCCATCATCAATCTAGATTAATCAGATCTAAATCATTAAAGACCCTCCCCAATCCCATAATACAAAGCCAATAAATCCCCAATCCATCATCAACCTCCTAGAAAACCGAAGAAAAACTAAAACCCTAGACATAGATCCATCGTCAAACCCTAGCTAGCTAGGGATCGAAGAGAGAGAGAGAGAGAGAGAGAGGGGGGGGGGGGGGCGGGAAATGGATCCATAACCTTAACTGGGAAATTGAACTTACTGGGTTTTTTGGGCTTTCCGTCGGCCCACTTAGAGATGGAGAAGTCGACCTTCTCTCTAGAATTTAGGGTTTCGGTGGAACTAGAGATAGATGATCAGGAAGTTCTCACCATTTTCGATGATCGTCGTCGTTCCCGGAGGTGAAATTAGGGCTTACAGGTGAAACTGGATCTCGTCGTCATCGTCGTCGTCACGCCGCCAGTTGAGAGCGATTAAGAGCGAAAGTGGGGAGGGAGAGAGATCACGAGAGCGGAAGTGTGGGGGATCACGAGAGCGGAAGTAGAGAGAGAAGAAACGATGGAATTGCAAATGACAGCCCACCGGTTGGGATTTAGAATTATGGGCGTAGTATAGGTTTAAAATGTTAATGGATTTGGGCCAATATCCAGTATTCAATTTTTTTTTTATCCAAACAATAGGATTCGGGCAAATACAGTATTTGAAATGAAATCCTGATTACCAAACAGGTTGCTAGGGATTTTGAAAGTACCTTACATTCATCTGTTGTGCGTGCGGAAGACACAAATGACGTGCTTCGAGCAACCAAACCAAACGTCGAGAGAAGGCCAAACAAACCAAAATAATACCATAAACACAAACAACTAATTTTTACGTGGTTCGACAAGATGCCTACGTCCACGGGGCAAGAAGGGGATGGGGTTTTCACTAATAGAAAAGAATAGTACAAACTAAGATTACAAATCACTCAAACTCATCAATTAATCTCGCCAACAAAGCTCTTAATCTCTCCAAACAAAACCCTAACCAATAGCTCCAGAAAATACCTATTTTTTCTGTGCTCCAAATATCCCCACAACAAGCCTTAAGAAACCCTAAAACGTGTTTGATATTTATATCAAACAACAATCCTAAATAGAAAAGGAATCCAATAACTGGGCCTGACCCGACTGGCGGTCGACCGCCCCAAGACTCGCGGTCGACCGCGATCAAACGACAGAACCTGAAAACATTACAGAGTCTAACGATCGACTGCGGCGGTCAACCGTACCAACAACAGAGTCAAAAATCAATTACAGGGTTTGGGCGGTCAACTACAGTGGTCGACCGCACCAAACCCAGAATCAGTTCTCAGCTCTATGCACGAATTAAGTCGACCGGCCTTGCATCGCGGTCGACCGACAAACTCCAAAACTGACTCGTGCACTTCCAAAACCTGTTCTTCACCAAATTTCTTCGCCGTTTCTTTAATTCTCCACCTCGGTGAATTTTCCCCAAAACTAAGCCGACACCGATACAAACTAAACGTCTCACTTGTTGTGTCTAGTATGAAGTGAAACAAAATCATAACAACGGACTCAATCCACAACAAGTCGAGACCCAAATGAGAATGTGACCACTCTCCAAACGTCGGTTTCAACTCACCAAATTGGCTGCATCATAAAATGATTGCCTACGTATCCTCTTTTCCAAGGAATCAAACCTTCACGTAGTTCTCCAAATGGTCTCCAAAGACCCTCAATCAAATAGAAGAGTTCACAACCCTTCTCCAACATCACCAACGAATCTGCAACTGATAGCTCTCTCAATGGCCCCAAAGGGTAACGAACCAAACACCTCTACCTGAGGTGAACCAACGGCCATATCCAAATCCAAACTATGTCCACCAGTTGTACTCGAATCAACCAACTCATCATCTGCATCCAAATCCAAATGATCCCTAATCTGTGTCACATCAGCTGGAATCCCAAACGATGTAGTATGATCTAATGCTCGACAACCAACGCCGATCCTCCTCCAGCAAGGAACGACCCATCAAAACTGTCATCTCATCTCGTCGCGCCAATGTTTCCTCTCTAATGAAGTATCTCAAACTATCGTGAGCTCGGTACAAATACAAGAAAGAACCCCTACCAAAAACAGAATGACGGGTTACCATTCTGCCAATACACTTCCTCCACCTGTTGTTGACTTCTAGGACTTCAAACCAATGGGACTTGGTTACAACCCGCCAATGCCTAGAATAGTCCCCAACATAGGAAACCAAATATCAATTACCTTCTAATGATGCCTCCTTGGAAGACCCCCAAATGCCTGAATGAACACCACCTAAAAGACCCCTCGATCGATGGATAGAAGTGCCAAACTCCAACTCGGTCTTCTTGCTCATACCAATGTGCTCACATGACTTCAATCTGCAGGTCAAAGCACTCCTCAACAATCCATGCACGACATAACCAATCAAATATCCCAGCCTTAATAAATGCCACAGTCTAGCCAAATACAAAGAAGTCATCAGCTCTCTACCAATCACCGTGCTCCCAATCAAATAATACAAATTCTTCTTCCTGACGCCCTTCATCACAATCATGGACTCAAATGTGACCTTCAAAGATGCATCCTCTAAGGTCACCCGATAGCCAGCCGCCTCCAAAACTCCAAGTGAAATGATGTTCTTCTTTAACTGAGGAACAAACCTCACTTCATCCAACTTCTGAATCACTCTGTCACACATCCTAATACGAACGGTACCGATACTACTAATAGGGCATTCATGATCATTATTCATGAGCACGACATCACCTCTTTCCACCTCCTAAAAGCTGGAGAACCAATCCCTCCTAGGGCAAATATGGTAAAAAGCACCTGAATCCAACATCCACTCTATAGAGTCGGCAACACAAACCGACGGTAGTGAAGATAAGGAGTAGCTCGAAGAATCTGAATCTGAATTGTCGCCACTAGCATTGAAAACATTCACCTGTGAAGCTTGAGTACCTTTCCCCTTATTCTTCCTAGCTCGATCAACCAAATTTGGGCATTCGGTTTTCCAATGTTCATCCTCTTTATAAAAGGCACACTGATTCCTACGAATTCCACGATGCGCCCCTCTAGACTGCGATCTCCTACCACGGTTTAGACTCTTTGCTCTTGCGACCAAAGCCCCCGCTACCGGTTTAATTGAAGTCTTCTTATCCTTCTTACGAAGCTGATAATTCACAAGTGCATCGATGACCTCACTATACGAAAGAGATGCCTTCCCATTAATAAGAGTAAGAACGAAGGTCTCATATTCCTCATCGGGCAAGGAACTCAACAATAACAATGCCTTATCCTCATCTTCAATCATCACATCTACATTCGCCAAATCCGCAAGAAGCTTCACGTAGTGGTTCATGTGATCACTATTAAAGGTTCTTTTCTTCAATTGAAAGCGGTAAAGCCTCCTATTCAAATACAAGTGGTTCTCTACACTCTTGGTCAAATACTTGCTCTCTAGGATCTCCCAAATCTTCTTGGCCGAAGTTTCATTGATCACATCATATTTCAAATCTTGAGTTAAACAAGACCTAATCACACCACACGCCGTTCTATTCATCTTCTTCCAAACATTCTCCTCAATGTTGTAATGACCGTAAAATTTTGATATTAATTAAAATAATTTTATAGTATTTTAAAATATTTAATTATGATTTTTAAAAGAGTATTTGTATTTTTCCCGAATTTCTAGAAATTTCTACGATTTAAAAGTTTAAATCTTATATTTATTTAAATGATTTTGATATTTATAAATTAACTAAGAGCAGTAAAAAATTTTGGAATTTATCCGTTGTGTTATCGATACTATTACGTGTCATTTTGAATAATATGTTGTATTATTTTTATTATTACGTATATTTTGGTATAATACGTTGTATTATTATTACGTATTATTTTGTATAATATGTTGTATTATTTATACTATTGCATATTATCGGTTGTATTAGTACAACTAGTAAGTTTTATTGTGTAGATAATTATCCCATAATTATTTGATTTTAAATATAAGTAATTATATTTATTATTAATTATTCTTGTTTAATTATATAATTTCTTGTATTATTTCTACTGTTGCGTATTATCGGTTGTATTACTATAACTGGTTCGTTTGGATGTGTAGATAATTTTCACGTAATTATTTAATATTTTTGTGATTATTATTATTTTTAATTAAATTTTCAAAACCCTAAAATTTCCTTTATATATATATATAAAAGAGTATTTGTATTTTCTTGATTTTCTAGAAATATTCTATGATTTAAAGTCTAAGTTTTATATTTATTTAAATGGTTTTGATAATTATAAATTAATTTAGTGCAATAAAAATTTCTGGGATTTATTCGTTGTTTTACTGATACTATTACGTATTATTTAAATAATACGTCGTATTATTATTACTATTACGTATTAATTCTTGTATTATATTGAATTATTAATTACGTATTATTTGTGTAAATTATTGTATTATTTTAATTATTACGTATCAGCTGTCGTATTAGCATAACTGGTACGTTTTATCATGTAGATAATTGTCACATAATTATTTAATTTTAAATGTAAGTAAATATATTTTTATTTCCGTTTAATTGTACAATATGGGTATATTTCGACAGTTTCGTATCAACTGTTGTATTAGCTCAACATGTACGTTTTTATTTGTAGATAATTATTATGTAATTAGTTTAATTTTTAAGTACCCGAAATTATTTATTTTAATTATTTTCGTTTAAATACCTAAACTATTTGAAAATACTCCCAAATTATTTTGCTCCGCGACAAACCCCAACAACCTCGTTCTCTCCCTCCGCATTTTTTCAAAAATGACTGCTCCACGCGCATTTCATTCAGTATTTTATTTTATTTTTTTTATTTTTTATTAATTTTTTCCCTATTTAAGTCCGCTCACTCTCTCTTTCTCTCTCGTACTCTCTCTCTCTCTCTTTCTTTCTCTCTCTGTTTGCGGAAAAAGTTGCTGTATTCATTGCTGCATTCATTACAACTTTGATCGTTACAATGAAACAAAAAGATAGCCTTTTTATAAGACCGGTACACAATGAAAACAAAATAAATGCAACTCCTTTCAAACAAACGCAAGAGCTGTTTGTCATCTCTTGCTTGCGTGGGTCTTTGGCCTGTGACGGGGACGTTGATATCCGTGGACCACCGGGCAATCAGATCCGCTCCGAGAAAATCGGGCAGAGCTTCGTCTATCCGCGGAGGGATATAGAAGCAGAACTTCGTCGATCCGCGTGAGATCTAGAAGCTATAAGCGTATACCTCGGCTAAAGCGAGGTATTAGCTCTTCTTAGTATTAACGCTAAAGG